AAATCGGGTATGGTGGTGTATGCCAGTAGTCCCAGTTACTTGGGAGGCTGAGGCAAAAGAATCACTTGAACCTGGGAGGCAGAGGTTGCAGTGGGCTGAGGTTGTGCTGTTGCACTCCTGTCTGGGTGGCAAAGTGATATTCTGTCTCGAAAAAAAAAAAAAAAAAAAAAAGGCTGGGCACAGTGGCTCACACCTGTAATCCCAGCACTTTGGGAGGCTAAGGCGGGTGAATCACGATGAGGTCAGGAGTTCAAGACCAGGCTGGTAAACATGGTGAAACCCGTCTCTACTAAAAATACAAAAATTAGCTGGGCATAGTGGCACATGCCTGTAATCCCAGTTACTTGGGAAGCTGAGGCAGGAGAATTGCTTGAACCAGGACCCAGGAAGCGGAGGTTGCAGTGAGCCGAGAGTGTGCCACTGCACTCCAGCCTGGGCTATAGAGCAAGACTCCATCTCAAAAAAAATAAAAAAATAAATTATGCCTGTCAAGTACTGAGCACATTTTGTGACACTAAGCACTAAGGGACAGCTGTCACTGTCATGGTGGTAGCTTCCACTACAGTGAGGATGTGTACTTTTCAAAATGTACTTTTTCTTTAGCCAGGGAGGCAAAGTGTCACACTGAGTCAGAGTGTACCTGCTCAGAGTGTACCTCATGCTGCTGAGAAAGGCAACAGCGACTGGCCAGAGAGGCCTGGACTGACACAGACTGGTCCTGGAAACAGGCGGATGCTGCGGAGACACACGGTGGAGGATGCGGTCGTGTCGCAGGACCCGGAGACTGCTGGCCCCCTCTGCACTCCCCAAGAGGTTAGTGCTTCCCAGTCCTAACAGGAATGAGGAGTCGTTAACCCACTGCCAAGAAGCAACAAGATGCTGAGTGTGAACACATCTGAGGACTAAATGTACTTCCATGAAACTGGCTAGAGAAGTTTTCAGTGCCAAGCTCCTGAAAGCTTTTCTGTGGCTGAGAAAAGAAGGCAACAACAAATTCACCATCCCTCTCCTCTTCAAAACTAATGAATACACTTGAAACAAATTCCAATAGCGTCCAGATCCTTAAGCCAGAAGTACATGCTTTTTAAGTATGAGGGTTTGCTGGGCACGGGGAGAGAGGTTTCACCACCAGATTCTGACCTCCTCCTCCCGAAAGGTGCTAAACCTCTCTGACCTGTGTACGTTATTTGCAAACCACAGCTAGAATTCCTCCATCTGGAATTAAGCCGGAGAGAAACAATTTAGGTTTCATGGTACTAGAGAGGTCAGGCTGAAATGTCATATCTGAAGGAAGAAAACAGCTGGACAATATTTCTCTACAAAGCAACACTTGAACCAAAAGATGCCTCAATCCCATTTTGATGTTCATTTTAGTGCAAGGATGCATTAGACCTGTTCCACATCATGCATATAGCAAAGGCTGGTTATCATTTTCCTTCTAACAAGTAACTATTCCGTTTTCTGCATGTGCATCTGTAGCAGTGTTCTAGAAACAGCCCTTTCTGTTGAGAGCCTCCCTTGAATGTCACACTCACATCTGTCGGATGGTTACTGGATTAGAGAGTAGATTTGGCACATCTTTTCTGTCTTTTGATTCAAATTCAAAACTTACAGCACAAACCAGGTCAAAGTTACTTTTGGTTAGAATTTATTGCCATTTATTCCTTTTTATAAATTTCTATAGATTACACTGTTATTTTTTTATGTTACTGGCCTAGAGCTACAACTATGGGTTTGTCTTGAGTCCATTTTCAAATGCCCTTGTAATAGGGAAACGGTTTTGTGCATGTTCTTGGAAATACTTGTGTATGTACAGAAGGGAGGGGTTATTTTTCTACAAAGTAATTTATGATTTCTAATTTTCTAATGTGCCTTGGATATGTGCCAAATGATGGAAAAGAAACAGTAAACTTTATGATTCTTGAGTGTGTCATGGTATGCTTTTTTAGTTGTTTGGCTGTGTATGTTTCTCGGCCTCTGCTGTAAACATGTGCTTTACGTGTACAAAAAACCGTCCCCACTGAATGGATATACATTTTTTGGTTCTAGATGTGAGACTGAAACATGGGAACATGATCACTTAGATCATTATCCCTCTATCTGACCAAGGCTGACTTAATCCAGTAGGCACAGTGCTCAGGGCCCACAAAAATTTTTTCTTTGAAAATCGGAAGAATAAAATGACCATAGCTTCCTACCCCAAACAGGAAATGAGACCTGTTGCTTTGCTAATTTCTTTGTTCTGATTTTTCCCCCTTTTCATTAAAACCACCTTATCAACTAAAGCTGCTGTGGTTCTATACCATCCCAGTTAAGAAAATATATCCTATAGAGTTTATCAGCACAGGTTTTTTCAAGATACAAATACATTTGATACCACCTAATGTTTTGGGGTGGTGCAGTACTTTGAAAACTTTGAGATAGAGTCTTACTCTGTCACCCAGGCTGGAGTGCGGTTACACAACCTTGGCTCACTGTAGCCACCTCCTCCCAGGTTCAAGGAATTCTCCTGCCCCAGCCTCCAGAATAGCTGGGATTACAGGCACCTGCCATCACGCCTGGCTAATTTTTGTATTTTTGGTAGAGGTGGGGGTTTCAGCATATTGGCCAGGCTAGTTTCAAACTCTTGACCTCAAGCAATCCACCCACCTCGGCCTCCCAAAGTGCTGGGATTGCAGGCGTGAGCCACCACGCCTGGCCAAAAATATTTTTATATATACCCATTTAAACAGTTGCCCTGGATGGTAGAATTGTCAAATGAGGAAACGGGTTCAGAAAAATAAGGGGACTTGTTTGCAAGGGATCTCACGGCCTGGCTGGCAGTGGCAGCCGCAAACTTGGCATACCCTTCCCCTGGAGATTAAATGCTATGTTTCTTTTTGAGCTATTTTCCATCTTAAAGTGACTCCCTCTATTTAAAAAAAAAAAAAAAAAATTGTGTTTTTTCCAACTGCTACTCAAAACTTGACAGTTTAGAAACTGTTAATGCCCTTATTACCATTTTGTGAAGAAAAGTTCTGAATTCAAAGTAGTGCGAGTTCACTGATTTAAATAAGTTTAGAACAACCACTCTCTGCTCCCTAAATGCACTCCAGCCTCTTGCTGCTACCAGAAGCCTCTCCCCTTGTGTACAGAACCACTTTTCATTCTCAGGTGTCTGAAAGACAAGAATCTGACCATCTTTAAACACACTGAGTAGCTGCCATTAGGACAGTGGTTATTCTGCGAGACAAAGCGCAGAACAGAACTTGCAGAGAACTGGCTCACATCCCCCTAGCATTTTTATGTAAATAAAGCCTAAAGCAAAATTTACCTGTAATTGGGATTTTTTCAAAATTCCTGACCAAATTTGTCTTTTTAAATTACCAGTTTACCCTGACAAAAAATTGCTAACCAGATTTCATCTTATGATCACTGTTCCTTTAAAAAAATGTTGATATTCTTAATGGTTCTACCTACTTAGAATGTTAGATATTATTCTAACACGTCCTTCACTGACAGTAAATACAAATTTCAAATACAGTAGAATGTCCAGTTTAAACATGTATCAGTAATATGCTAGCTAACAGAGACTGGGGTTTGCAAACCACATTTCCCTTCACTTTTCTACTAGTCCCATTCACCTTGTTAAATGTTATCAATTTACTCCTGCACTGGTTCTCACAGGACTAAGACATTTAAAAAGTTACACCAAACAGCTGGCCGATGGTTAAGTTTATGATTTAAATATATGAGTAGTGGCTTGTACCTACAATCTCAGCCACGTGGGAGGCTGAGGTGGGAAGATCACTTGAGCTCAGGAGTTTGAGGCCAGCCTCAGCAACACAGCAAGTCTCCGTCTCTGAAAACAGTAATTTATGAGTGCAGGTTTTCATAACCTAGTGGAAAGAAAGCACAACATGAGAGAGAACATTTGCTTTAAGTCACCTGCAACACTTATCAGTAATGTTACGGAAATGTTTAAATGCTGCACTGTCTCAACTGGACTTGAAATTATTAGAAGTCATTTGTCTTACAAACATATTACTGAAGTAGTATTACCAACATGTCTATTTTGGGCATTACTTTTCAAGTCATATCACTCTATAGTTATTTTGGGAGTGGTATTGTTAATTTCACTGCCTCTGAAAAACAGATTATAAATAAGATCAAAGCTAGGAGGTCTTTTTTTTTTTTTTTTTGAGATGGAGTCACCCAGGTTAGAATGCAGTGGTGCGGTCTTGACTCACTGCAACCTCTGCCTCCCGGGTTCAAGTGATTGTTCTGCCTCAGCCTCCCGAGTAGCTGGGGTTACAGGTATGTGCCACCACGCCCAGCTTGGTTTTATATTTTTACTAGAGATGGGGTTTCACCATGTTGGCTAGGCTGGTCTCGAACTCACAACCTCAAATGACCCATCAGCCTCAGCCTCGGCCTCCCAAAGTGCTGGGATTACAGGTATGAGCAACTGCGCCTGGCAAAGCTAGGAATTTTCTTACATTAAGTGGAAGTACTATCTGCAGGAAGAGAAACAGCTTACCTGATTTCAGAACCTAGGTCTTAGAATATTAGATGTGCTCAGATGTTGAACCGGATTTAGTCCGATCCACGGGTTTTAATTCCCCAGTTACTGGTGGCTGCTATGTTTTTCTTCCTGGAGTGCTGGAGCAGCTTGTTTCCACCATGGACACACGGACACTTTCGCTATTTAATACTTATGGCACCTTTGCAAAGGATATATTCATGCTGGTACACGTGGTTAAAAGCTTCTGGTAGGAAGGGGAAAAATTCAAAACACAGATCTGGCCACTTGGCTATGATACTAAAACAACTTACCCAAATGTTTTATTTTGCATAACAAGTTTATTTTTTTAAAGGCCTATAGACAATAAACAAAGTAAATAATCAGATCTTAACTTCTGTCCTAGAATTGTTCTGTTAAGCTCTAGTCTGTAAGCACTTTTAGTTCAATAATCGTCATCTTCATCAGAGTCCATTACCTTTCTTCTGTTGAACTAGGGGGAAAATTAAATGAGTGTCAGAACATTTCTAAAAGCATAACTCAAATTTTCCAAGAAAAGAAAATTTCTACCCATTTTAGCACGACATTTGTGTCTTTAAAGCAACTTAACGTGAACTAAAAGGATGGGAATGGAGTCAACAGGCTTTAAAAAACTGCAACCCTCCCCCGATAGTTTTCACGTTACAATATGAAAATGGCCCTGAGCTAAAAAATATGTTGTGGCAGATGTATATTCAACATTAATCTTTTTTTTTTTTTTTTTTTTGAAACGGAGTTTCGCTCTTGTTACCCAGGCTGGAGTGCAATGGCGCGATCTCGGCTCACCGCAACCTCCGCCTCCTGGGTTCAGGCAATTCTCCTGCCTCAGCCTCCTGAGTAGCTGGGATTACAGGCATGTGCCACCATGCTCAGCTAATTTTTTGTAGTTTTAGTAGAGACGGGGTTTCACCATGTTGACCAGGATGGTCTCGATCTCTTGACCTCGTGATCCACCCGCCTCGGCCTCCCAAAGTGCTGGGATTACAGGCTTGAGCCACCGCGCCCGGCCTCAACATTAATCTTTAGAGGATCCATCTTTTCATTTGCCACGAGCATCTGGGGACACTTACTTTCACTGTTGTCGTCTTTTCTGTTTGCTGGCTTACTTTTTTAAGGATTTCTATTAAACCTTGTTCTGATACCTAGGAGAACCAGAAAAAACAGTACTTTAAACAAATATTTTACCTCTGCAGGTGGAATCACTTTGTAGTCTTTTTGCAGTGTGGGGAAAGAGCTCAGGACAGAAGGAGTGGTGGGGCAGAAGGTTGAAACTATTGGTTATAACTATTGGTTTAAGTTTCAAATAAAATTTGCTCTGCTATTCCTCATTTGAGAAGGATGGGGAAGTATCCATAAAGTCGCTTCCTCAGGAAAACTGAAAGCTAACAGATATATTTAAGAACACCTTTATTATCACTAGCACAGAGTGACAACCACATATACCACTGTGTTTGGTGTCAGGAATACAGACACACCACTTCTGCCTGACAAGCTTAAATATCCCCTTGAAGGAGGTAAGTCACACTCGAAAAAGATCAACCCAACCAGCTCTCCCACAACTGATACATGGTGAAACCCCATCTCTAGTAAAAAATATATACAAGTGTGAGGGGTTTAGGGGACAGGACTGATTCAGGTAGGGTGTGGTGGGGGCTTCTCAGGGCAGGTGGGGGTCCTCTGGATTTCAAAGGTCAGGTTTGCTAGAACATACCCTTCAAGGCATTACAGCAACACCCAGAACATAACCAAGGGATCTTAGCACAGTCTCATCTGTAAAACACACCTGATTTCTACTTACACTGGAAGTATTTTAATTGGTGTTACTGACAAACCTTGTTTCCAGTGTAGCAATTGAAGCTAGCTGACCCTACAGTCACTGGGTCACACAGACACCAACAAGGTTCCAGAGCAACATCAGGAAAGGAACGAAGCAGAGGAATTTGGGAAAGGTAATTCTCTTTTACGGTAGGTATGACTATTCTCTCCTGCAACAATTTCTTCTAAGAGTCAGCAAGGATTCTGTAATCCAGTGAAGATGAAGCTGACCTTTTGAAGCCATGTTTTCATAAAAGAGGTAACAGCAGGTAAAGATCCTCAAGGCAGTCTAAGCTTACCTTCTCACTTATTTGTCCATATCTTGCCATCTGTATAAGGTAATTCTCTACTGCTTTAGTTTTTTCAGGCTTTACAAGTGCCAAGTTACTTACTAAAAAAGAAAAAATACATATGCAAAGAAGCCATTCAAATCAAATGCACTTACATTTATTATACCTGAAAACTACGCACTATTTCCAAAGCACTTCACAAGCTTGTCTCTCAACCAGTGAAGTAGGTAGGGCGAGACAGTATTGTTATGCCTCTTAAAAATGAGAAAACTGAAGTTCAACCATGCCAATCTCCACATGGCCACATGGGGTTAGTGGCCCAGCCAAGATTAAACCTGGGTTCTCAGATTCTAAGCACCATGCTTCCTGTTTCTTAAAATATACGACTGCCCTCTGGAAAGTGGTTTATCTATTACACATACATAATGGTGGTGATCCAACTGGCTGCCTTTTCTACACTCAAACTGGAAGCCTCCAGTTGAAATACAGAAGACACCAGTTCATTCTGATTGGCTCATTTTCTTTCTACAGATTTTGGTTTTTATGATTAACAACTCTGAACAACCAAAACTGACAACACATACCAAAAGCCCCTAGTCCCCATCACCCATGTCAACTACCAGCAACATTTTGTGATTAGCCCTAGGAGTTGTTTCCTATAAATGTTACCTAATACATACCTAGAGAACATCTTGGTAATAGAAGTGACTAGTCCTGTTAATAGGGATTAAAGTACAGTTTCTCTGTGTGAAGTTTATAAACTTCACACTTCCTACAAATCTCTAGTGTTTTCAGCCTAAACAAATATTTCATCTAGAGATAGTGATTATGGCATATAATCACCACATTCAACTAACTCAAGCCAACTTTATGGAAATAAAATCAAAGATGCTTACACCTGGCCCGGGCTGACTGATCCAGTACTTGGGCTAAGATACTGTTTCTCATTTCTGCTTCCCTACAACAAAAACATAGGTCAAGCACAATTAGAACAAAGCTGTTGGCATTCCCATGGAACATACAAAAAAGAACTCATCCAGTATGTGTCTCCACATGGGCCCTGTGGCGTACCGCTGTGTTACGGTAGTTGTTGTATACCAGGCTGTAGCTACATTCCAGTAGAATCTACTTTTGCCCTTAAAGAATCAGCTTTATATTACACAGGTGAGACCCTACCAGGCTGGAAGGTGAGCTTTACAGTTTTCATCAGTGGAGTCTCAGTTCAAACACTATCACCAACATTTCTTAAGTATTATCGTGTGACAGGTGCTAGAAATTTATAGTGGGATTTCAGGGAATTAAAAGGACCATGTGACTAATCTATGTAATTTTCTTAAAGCTGAGATCCATGAGGCTATGCTCGAGACATAGGTAACTGGCCAAGCTACAGCCGGAGTTCATGTTTTAAGACAGTTCTATTTTTCTGGGTGGGAAAGGGGAATGAAATTATAACTCTGCAACTATCCTCGCTTCTTCCCACCTACCCAAATAGAAAGTAGTACATGTTCACAAGACAGTGGTCCCATGGACTTCAAGTTTCTTTCAAATGAAGTCCTTTAAGGAATCTAAAAACAAATGAGCACAGATACTTTGGCTGAACGGAGGGAGAGCTGGGGCTGGCTGTGCCCACTATCCACTCCCAGCTCAGAGGCCCGTGGGTTCATGGAATGTGGCTTAAAGCTCATGTCCATAGGCCACTTCTTTATGGTTTGAATATTTCAGCCCTGCCACAAACTTTTTTAAGAGATGGGATCTAGGCTGGGTGTGGTGGCTCACGCCTATAATCTCTGCACTTCGGGAGGCCGAGGTGGGCAGATCGCTTGGGGTAAGGAGTCCAAGACCAGCCTGGCCAACATGGTGAAATCCCGTCTCTACTAAAAATACAAAAATTAGCTGGGCATGGTGGTGGGCACCTGTTCACCTATAATCCCAGCTACCCGGAGGCTGAGGCAGGAGAATCGCTTGAATCTCAGAGGTGGAGGTTGCAATGAACCAAGA